GCTATTTTTTTTTTTAAATAGGTAATTTTACCATCAAGCAAGTGCAAATTTGAAATTTTCATAAAAGTACAATAGCATTTTAGAAGTTAGTATCTTAAAACTTTATTTGTAAAGAGTCATTGTCTTTTAGTTAAAATTTCAACTGTACCTTTTATAGAGATGACAAAAGTAACGTTTGTCTTCTAGTAATATTTAAAAAATTGCCCTACAAAAGTAACTTTTTTTAAAAAAGTAGAGTACAAAATTAATAAATCTACCCTTCACAACTCTCTCTACCTTTGTAATTTGAACGGTTGTGAAGTTTAGATTATCATATACATATATATATATATATTGAAAAAAGATGAGCTTAGCCCACTAGCTCATATGAATAGATAAGTTCAACGTTTCAGATTGAATCTGAGCCAATCTGACGATCATAGATATCTGATAGTGTTTGAATTTTAACTTTTTTTTTTTACAAATCTAAATCACTTGAAATTTTAGACGTGTATTCATAAAAAATAGGTGAATATTTGAAAAAATATAAAAAAAATATTTTACATGAAATAAATTGCCCAAAATACCTTTGAAAAACTTTAAGGGGTATTTTGGTCATTTTATTTTTTATAAATAATGTTTTTTATATTTTTATTAGATCCGACTTAATAAGAAGAAAACACACTCAAAATTTCGAGTGATTTATATTTGTAGATAAAAATTAAATTCAAGTACCAGACATTCGTGATTATCAGATCGGCCCAGATTCAATTTGATCCATTGGGCTCATATGTTCATATGAGCTAGTGAGCTAATCTCATCTTTTCCTATATATATTAAGGCTTATATCATATTTTCTTAAGTTCCCTCTAAATCTTCTTCCCATAAAACCCAATTTTTTATTTTGTTTTTTTTATATATTTTTTTTTTTGAATCACCAGTTCATACCGATCCAAACCTTGATATTCTCTGGTTTTAAAACACTGGAACATACCAAATCAAGCACTCTCACAAAAGAAAAATGCTAACCTTCAACAACTTTTTCTCCACTAGATTGTTTGTGAGTTTCGATGAGAAGTAATAAATATGAAATCAAAGCGGGTAGTTTTGAGTTTTGACCTTACTGGTTGAGGCTATTCTTTTTCCCGTTATAGAATAATGTTATGAGACTCGGCCGAGGCCACTTGGATTCAGTGAGTTTTGAGAGAGTAGGTTGTACAATATGTTTTTTTAATTTAATTATATTAATACCACAAATTCAGCCAGATGTGCTAGAATACTTTTTTAGTTAGTAATAACACATAAACTCCAACTCCAAGTTCGAATCCCACTAAAGACCTCTTGTAAAGATATCTATTTATGTAGACGTACTAACGAGCATGCCATTCTACCTTGTGGTGATAATAATGATGCCCATATTATATATATAAATGATTTTTTAACTTTATTTTCTTTTTAAAAAAATGAGCTAAACCCATCTTTGACAAGAGCTCAAATACCTTGTTGGAGTCGATTTTCTAAGCACTATTATATAATATATAGAATAGTGGAAAAAGGCGAAAATGTTTTTCACGGATTTTATCAAATAGCTGCCATTTGACAACATAATCTACACAAGCGTAGTTACAAAGTAAGCAGATAAATCTCCGCAAGAACAGTAACATATCCTGCTTAATCGATCCAAAGATTTTTAGCTGGCCACAACCCTTTTTGTTGGTAGGTCATGTTAATTTTACAGGAGGCAGTTTGGAATCCAAGATCTCTCTCCTCAAAATGGGGTTGCTTAACCACAAGCACAACCAAAAAAACACACGTAATCTCAGAAAGAGAGAACCAGGTGCTGCCCTACCCTACCTCCTATTTCCTTCCCCACCAAAAATCACATTCCTAAACTAACTTAACCAAACTGCGGGAAGAAGAGAAAAAAAGAGAGGCTAATCTTAATTCAAAATCTCTTGGATTGGCACTAAAAACTGTTATGAAAATTGTATAATGTGTAGGGGAGTACTGTGTAATGCATATGTTATAGCAAGTAAATATGGGAGGAGTAAGTGTATTATTTTTTATTTTATAGTAAGTATAGGTGTTTATTATTTCTTCCTATTCTCACCATCTATAAGTTTGTATACTCGAGAGATGATGAGATTACTAAGATTAGAGTAATCTCGAGAGAAACCTGAGACTCTACCACAGGGGCATTGAAAGAGGGAGAAGAGAGCACGAGTACAACAATCTTAGATAAGCGACGCTGGAAAGTACCTCAACAATTTTTGATAAGCGATGCTGGAAAGTACCTCCATGGCACCAATACTGAGTAAACTAGGAGTAATTTTTGCACAAGGGCTATGCCAATCTTTTCTGCATTACAATAATTTACATTATTATAATTTATAGAGAAATGACATTGCAGATGGACTTGCTAACTTGGGTGCTTTTTTACTCGAGTAGCCATTTCAGATGAGTTGAACTTTTTATTGTAATGTTGTATTTTTTCTAATTATTAAATTCTTGAATATTTTTTTGAAAAACAATTCTTGAATATCATCCAAAAAAAAAAGTGTAAGAACGTTCACGTTCTTAACGCAATAGTTCATTATTCAACAACACATACAATGTTCTTGATACTCTCTCGCTCTAAGACACAAATTCTTACTGAATACCAACACAACCAAATATTGCACTAAATATTCGCAGATAACCATGGATGGACTCCCAAGAACACTAGCTCACCACACCACATATAATAACATAATTATGGGAAGCCACCACCAAGCCCACCACCAGCGCCAGCACCACCACCGAACCCGGCTCCGCCACCAAGCCCTCCACCGCCACCGCCTCCACCACCAAAACCGCCACCGCCGCCTCCTCCAAGTCCAGCACCACCGCCGAAGCCTCCGCCCGCTCCAGCTCCTCCGCCGTATCCTCCACCAAGCCCTCCACCAGCACCTCCTCCAAATCCACCGCCACCACCTCCTCCTAGTCCACCGCCTCCTCCAAGTCCTGCACCTCCACCGAGTCCAGCACCACCACCATATCCACCCCCAAGTCCAGCACCACCACCACCACCAAGTCCGCCACCTCCGCCAAGACCCCCACCACCACCAAGTCCCCCACCACCGCCAAGTCCACCGCCAAATCCCCTATGGAAGTGGCCCCATTTGGCCTCCTCTAGTGACCCGGCTTTGTTCACTAGTTGCCTAGCATTTGTGTTGGCAATCAGCACAGCCAAAACCAGGGGGATTAGGCTGTTGCAAATCTTAGCCATGTTTTGTGTTGTGGTTTGTGGTTGTGGAATGAGAAGGAAGAGGTGGGGGTTTAAATAGGGGTTTGCATGGAAGTGGACGGTTGGGAGTGCCTTCAATTCTCATCTGTAATCCGTGATCCTTTAATGCACCCAACCTCACAGGCACTTGCACTTGACTTGACTTCTCTCTCTCTAGCTATCTATATCTCTCTCTCTCTCTTACTGTCTATATTTCTTTTCGTGGACCTTTTTGCAATGCGGCGATGCAACATGGCATTGATAATGAAGTGCATCTTATCTCCATGACCCTCCTACCAATCATTCATTATTGCCATGTTTTTTGTAAATACCAACATCTTAACAAGTTCCATGACCCAGCAATTGGATGAGGCTTCATGATTGGGTTGTCTCCAAAGATATGGTTCCTAGAGTTGTGTCAAATGACATCTTAACAAGTTCAATAACCAACAATAACCTAACCTCAAAGGATTTTGGATCTATATATATATATATATATATATATATATATATATGGAAAAACCTAAAAACACTTATGGGAAAATGCTACAGTGTTTCACCTCCGTCACGAACTTGCTATGTTCGTGACAGTCAAAAAACACACGCCGTCCGACTTTTTTGGAAGGCAATTGGTGTATAGGTGAAATCACTATAGCATTTCACCCATAGGCATTGCGTAGAAGCTATATATATATATATATATAGGAAAAATCTGAGATTAGCCCATTAACTCATATGAACATATGAGCTCAACAGCTCAAATTGAATCTGGGCTGATTTGACGACCACAACCTCATTTCGTATTTGAATTTTAATTTTTTTTTACACATCCAAATCACCTAAAATTTTAGGAATGTGTTTTTCTCATCAAGGCGCACCTAACAAAAATAGAAAAACAATTATTTACAAAAAGGTGACCAAAATACCCCTGAAAATTTTCAGGAATTTTTTGGTCAATTTATTTCATGTAAAATATTTTTTTGATATTTTTCGAATGTTCTACTATTTTTTGTGAACACACTCTTAAAATTTTAAGTGATTTGGATTTGTAGAAAAAAAA